GAAAATATTTCGAAATTTCAAAAGTGAAAGGACAAGACAACCTCAAAACACAACATTTAATATAACTAATACAGAAACTAATATAATTTTTTTTTAAACTCTTAGAATGGGAAATTTTATTTTAACTCAGGCGTTAAAATTTGCTTGCTTATAGTAATGTTTTATTCACCCGCACTTTTTTTAAGTCCACGCCACGTTAATGATATTTTTTTTGCCAGATAAGTAAAATATAAGTTATTTCATTTCTACGTCCCCCTTACAGTTCACTATCCAACAATGAAAAAAATAGCGATTAAAGTCGGATAATTTGACATTATTTTTACTTACTAAACTGAGGCAAACATGCAATATAGATTGCTGAAATCCTCAATAAAAGCTCTGCGTTTTAGAACAGGGAAGTAATTGTCGCCTCTAAAAATATTTTTATTTGCTTTGCGATTGAAATAATTAGGTTGTACCAAAATATATGATATTTTTCGCCTTAATTTACAATTTTTGTAAAGAGCTGGGCTTGCGACGAGGGCCTAATTTCCGTTCACCTGATTCTTAATCCCTCCCCAGAGTTTTTGATATGTTGCAGTATTTTGAAACAATTTTGCCTTCACTCGTCGGATAGAATGCCCGGTCACATTCGGGAATTTAACAGGCTAGAGCCACATTCGAGGCACGATTTGGTCTTTAAAATATGGCGGAATAATAAGACTAAATCGACTTTGAGAGTTTTTTGTCTCTGATCGTGAGTTACTGGTAACCAAATCTCAATGGGTACCACCGGAATATTAATATGAGAAAACATCAAATTCAAGATCTTACCTTCAATTAATATCAGCTTATCGGATTTCACTGGGTTTTTCGCGCTAAAAACCAACCAGAAAATCGCCATTTTTGCATGGATCTTCACCTGCGTAGACTTGCGCGGAAAGATTACAACTAAAGTTTGCAGAAATCGCGAACAGTACCAGTCCGCCTGATATCGTGACATCTCTTGTCTGCCTTTAAAACCACCAGTCTTTTAAACCAAGGAATGTGATAAAAACTGTTTTTTTTTTTTTATTTGAATTAGCCAGCGGGAAGAAAATTTCCAGAAAACGTCTTTGAAAGCCAAATTTCTCCAAGTTTGGGCCGTCTTTTTTTTTTATTTTTCGAAGTTGTTTCCAGTACTCTTTGACCGTTTTCTTGTTTTTACCTCATGTATGCTACATTTAGAAGTGTCACGGTTGAAAACGGCAAAATACTAACCCCCACCCGGACGGGAAATTTTTCGTTGACCTCAATGGACTGGGAATTCTACCCAATGTGGAAATCCTTTGATCTTCTCTACAAGATATGGTTTATTTTAGGGGTGGTAGCACTGCTGGAGGCCTGTGACGTCACCAACAATGATCACCGTCTTTGCCGCCATCTTAGACTTTACCAAGAATTAGAAATCAGGTTAAAACCGCGACTGAATGGCATTTTTTGGGGGTTGATATATAAATAAGCACTTTGCATGATTTAAGCCACAAGATTTACTTTTATTGTTGAACAAAGTTGAAAAAACATGCATTTTCACTTAAAAAGGCTGACCACCTGCCACTCATGACGTCACACCTCGTAACCATAGAAACTGACCATCACTGAACTTGTCTCAAAATGCGTGTGAGGGATAAAGGAACACCTACTAAAAACATTAGGTGCTGATGTTTTATCCTCTAGGAAAAACTCAGAAAACCTTAGGGGGGTGGCATCGATCCCCCCTCTTGTACTTTAGAACTGAAAAAAGCAAGCGACGGCAACGAGACTATTTAGATTAGAAAAACAACAACTTTACACGTGCATCACGGCTTTTTGTACATTTCTTAACCGTTTTGCACGACTGCCACATGAAACCTTCGATTTTTAATTTTAAAATTTAATGTCAACGCAAAGACACCCAGTGGAGGGGTGGGTACGCATTTTAATCACTTGTGTCGGTTGTTTTATTGTGATTAGTTTAACTTCTTTTCTTCCTATTTTTAGGCGCTGACACCGAGAAACCTCTCTCTATTTAAACGTACCTCCTGCCCATCCTACTTATCCAATTAGTTCTCAACAGTGGCACTTACAACGGCTGTTTTGCACGCACTGCAAATATTACAAACTAAATAGTGGTTACTCTAGTCACATCAAGGCAATAGCTTAGTCTTAATCTATTGCTGAAGACGCGTGTAGTCGAAAGAATATGTCCTGTAGTACAAAAGCAGTTGGAAGAAAACAACGTAAGCGGAATCAGGCTTCGTACATCCTTGCACGGCACCCAACCTTCTTTCCCTCTGCGTTTTATCGTCCTGCTGTGACTAAGGACAAGAGAACGTTTTCACAGAATAATTTCCGAAAAATTACACTGCATTTCCTTCATTTTGTGGAGATCTTTTGTCTTGGACTTTGCTGTAATTTCTTGTTTTGCTTCGTGCTTGCAGTGCAACAGCTCTGGAAAGTCGTCAAGTCATCACAGAATAAGCGTAATCTCGTCCGCTCCTAAGTACCAGCCTCCTGTGGGCAGAATGAAAGGCGAGAGAAGCACTCCGTGGAGACCTGGTGAAGAATATTCTTTACCCATAAAATTTAATGCGCGTATGTTGAAACCACTAAACAGGTGACATGAGCAGTGGCGTTGTATTTCTGTCATAGAGGTGTGTTTGTCCTATGCTGCTGTTGATGTCGTGGTCGTTCTGATAATGAGACCTTTAGATCCTTAGACGGGGACGACTACGAGAACCAGGTCACTTTAGCCGGGAAACGCTTCGTTCGCCATAAGAGCAAAATCTCACTGATGGGGTGAAAGATAGTAACGTCCACAGAGTGAGAGATATGCATGACGTCCCTATTATCTTAAACCTGGCACAGGCTTCATTGACCAGACCTCTCTACCAATTAGCGTGCGAGAAATCTTTCAAATATTAAAAATATATAAAAATATGTTTACTGTGTTTAAAAAGTGACCTAGAATTTCTAATCTCGTCTTAAAATCTATTTTGCTAACTGTCAACCTGGTTTATTGTAGGTTCAAGTTTAATATGGACAGTTATAATTCCTGCACACAGCCGAGAAAGCGTCAGCCCCACAAGCACAGCTCCAGGAACTCGAATGAGCGTGGAAGGATACCTAGAACTTTTAAAGATGTACTGATTCATCTGAGTATCATGCCATTTGGCAAGCTCAAAGGAATTTGCCTTGAGAGGAATTGGAGAGTTTCTTGGTGTTTTAAACAGGGTAATAATCCCCGAAATGCAGTGAAAAACAGTGAACAGTGAAGTCATACATCGCTCCATGGAAGGGAATCCAAGACATTCGTGGATTCTGGATTCAACGTCACGGATTTCGGATTCCAGGTCCTGGATTTCTATCTTTTTCAGTGGAACTATGACTCTGGATTCCAATCGTTTGTGGCATTCCAGATTCTTTGAGCTGTAGTCTGGATTCTACAGCCTAAGATTCCGGATTCCAGATGCCAATTTTTCCGGGATTCCGGAATTCCACAAGCATAAATTTCCCGGATTCCAGAATATTTCCTTACGTAGGGCGACATATAAATAGATATATAAAGAGCTTACACGACTAGGACGGCGACGGGGGCAAAACGTCCCTTGGAATGTGAATTCGCCTTCTTGCAAGTCGGTCTTGGGTTCGATTCGAGGCACTAGGTCAAAACTAAAATAAAACATTGTATTTTTACTCACTGGCAGTTTTCGCTTTTCAACTTTTTTCATGCCCCAGGCGATACTCTGCTGTTTGCTGAATCAGCTGGTTTGTTTTGACGTTTTGATCATTATTCTGATATTTCTAACGGATGTCTCTCCCACTTTCACGAATAAAGTAATGTCTGCTACCCTTCGATCATCCCTCCTTCGACCAAAATACCATTCCTCAGTGCAATTTTCTCCGCTATTCACGAGTTATATTTAGTTCTGCTTCCCACCGCCTCGCATAAGCCTTTTAAAAGAACCACAAGCGGGTGAAGCTGTGCGAGCGCCTTGCGATTTGATTTGCATAAACCCCACCCTAAACCAGGTGATTGACGACGGATCAGTTAAACCTACATTCATCAAGGGTATCTTTGCTTCTCTTGCCTTGTCTTTTTGGCACATGTTTGAGTATTTCTTCTTCGCTTGACGTGTGAAATATTCCTCAAAGTTTTCTCCTCTGCCAAAAACAGCTGATCTACCGTGCTTTCTATTGTAAGTTTTTGTCGGAATCAGTACAATTGACTACAATTGCACTGACATCGGCAAACACCTTCCAGACTTGGTCAAACTAACTGGTTATGAAGAATTATCCAGGAAATTTGAGCCAGTGAGACTCAGAAACGGATACTGATAAGATTGCTGTAACTAAAATGAGAGGTAAAGGTAAAGTATGTATTTCTCGTGCTTATTAAGCCTATCATTTTAAGCTGCAATATTGGCACTCTTAAGCAATTTGACTTGATTCCTCCTCAGCAAACACACCATTTTGTTTCTTTTAATTATCAAACAAATGTCTTTTTCTAATTGTTTTGTTCCCATCGTCTTCGTGGTTGCTAAAAAGCTTAGTGCTAGTTTTCTCGGCTTGTCAAGTCGTAATGGAAATAAAGAAAACAGTTAATATATAAAATGGTAATAGAACTGAGTGGAGTCTAATTCGGTCAGTTCTAATACGAGTGAATAACAAAAGGATTCCGATTTGTTTAATTAAGAGTTACACACCTAATTGGACGACACGAAGTGTTGTTTCCAATTAGTCATAACTATAACCAGATTTGTAATGTATTAGGTCCAAGAGAACATGTCAGAGCGCACACGGAGTGGCGCGTACTCTCCTTTTAGACCCTCTTACACTGTCCTACTAATGCTGAAAATAGGCCAGGGCTGCTGATGGCCAATCAGATTTGAGAATTTCTTTATAGTTATGATCATGATAATGATAATAATAATAATATTAATAATAATAATAGCAATAATGATAATAATAATAGTAATAGTTATTAGTAACAATTATGATAGTGATGACAGAAAATACGAATCGATCCTTTTTTCTTTCATGAGAAATTAGAGAGATATAAATGGTTTTCACAGTGACGTCATCAAATTGTAAAGTCAAAATAGCGAGGTTATACGAATTCTTATTTACACTAGGTTAAAGATAAAAAAAAAAATAAATCTCTGTACAAGTTTCCATTCCCGTAGCATGTCTCATTTCGAAAATTCAGCAATTTGAACTTCCTAGTTATCACCTTGCGTGACACCAAAATAGGAATGCTGTCTCGATGAAAAAAAGGCTATCGTAAATAAGGGGCATACTCGTCCATGTCTTTGTTTCAAAATTCTAACTAAATGAGAATATCCATCGATGATTGCCACATGTTACTCAACCGCAAACCGCTATTCGTTGAAAGGAGCGCTAGAGTTTTTTTTCCTTTCTATGGAACCGAACCGGCGCAAGACCGTGAAATATTATTTAAATTAACTAAATGCGGATTTTAATTAAACGAGTTAATTTATTACTAACTAAAACCCCGGGAACAGGGTTGCGGCAAAAATAGACGGCCTTACAACAGTGTGGATGATTTCATCAGTGACAGAACTTGGCAAAATTATTTGGTCCGATGAGCGTTTTCGGGTTACCAAATGACTTGTTGCAGGCACTTGGGCTCATTGATGTTGCTTTCTCTTTTCCCCTGTTTCCAAGTGAATGCTACCTTTGCGATTGGCTAAAGAACGCCTGCTGTTTATTAATTGCTGACGACAACAAATCAAGAACGAGTGAAGAGCATTACGTGACAACACAAAAGCGGCTGCGCAGAACATAAATGGCTCATGATCATAGTTGTTCGACTGGAGACACCACCAACACAATGGGACAATGGGACTCAATATTCTTGGTAACATAGGCAGACGCGGAAGTTGTGTCGAACACCAAAGAATGGATGGAAGCAACCACAAAGGTGCTATGGTTATATAAAGACGCATATTTATTTTTTCTTCCTTCTTCAGTAAACATTTGAACCATCCGTAACACTTCTTTATGAAACATGCTTGACCTTGTCAAAGACCGAAGCCTTTTTTGGAATGAATCCTTAGTACTTTCCGAGAAATCGAAACGGAAGTAAAACAATGCTCAACTCAATAGTTAGGGAAAATTCCCTTGGGCCATAAGGATATTCTTGGAATTGGCTGAAAGCGATCGAGACTGTGGATGTGTTGAGATCATACTTTTGAAGATTGATCTTACGCCGGAAATTTCAAGGGAAAAGCAATGGATCACGAAGGTAATAGAGTCAAAACTTCTCTTTCCCGGCAAGTTCTAGTCAGTTATAAATTGCTAGGGGTTTTGATGGCGTTTTAGGTAAAATCAACAATGACTTAGATACCTGAGTAAGTTCGAATAACAAGTGATACATTGGGGTCGATCCCAGGCGTTTGCAATGTTAGCGTTCTTGAGGAAACCGAAAAGGGCGTTCATCTTCTTAGTTTTGTTTCACTCAACTTGATTGCTGAATAACAGAACTTCCAATAGTTTACAGATGTTTGATTTCAGATGATTAGAAGCTGAAGTAGGAAAGACTCAAACGTCTCTAAATTGCCTATTTCTAAAACTACATTTCGAATTTTGAGGACTCGAATTAACATTTGAGCCTGATGAAATAATGTCAATATCTGATTAATACTAAGTTCTTTCTGTCTTGAAAACGCAGGAAAAAAACGGAAGTTCGAGAGTTTGAATCTCATCATAGTATTTTTGTTATAATTGTGTGAGTGTGCGTGTTTCCTTCTCCTTCATAATCTTTATGATATTTTAACCATAATATTTTTGCTGCAGAAGTTTACGAAAAAAATGTTTATGGAGGCTCGCTTTCTTTGTTTGCAAAAATTACAGTGAACTAGAAATTCCAACCAATTCTTAGAATTCCGTGAAAATAAAAGTGGAATATGCTCACTGCATTATTTATTGATAAAAAGAGAACTCCCATTGACCCGAAGACATTCTAAAAAATCAGCTGCACATCTGAAATCGCCAACTTTATATCACGTCAGTTTCATTGCCACTCCAACGTAACCACCAACGACCCCAAGGCACCGCAAATCGGTTTTGACACCGCATGGTTATTGCATAAAAATACCCCTGGTAGAGAACCATTTGTTAGACACATTTTTGAGAAAAACATGAAAATCAGGGACAGCAATAACTTTTGCAGGGAAAAGAGTTGAGTAAAGGGTGAAGCACCCGAGTACAGTGATAAAAAAAGGGATAAGCACTGTTTAAAACCATTAACTTTCAAATGCTATAATTGAATATAAACGAGGCGGAACACGACAAAACTTTTACGGAGGGTATCATTGGGAACAATTTCTGTCTTAACAGGCTAATGTGGATAACTTCGCCCTATCAATGGTTGTTTTTTTTTTTTTTCGTTGCATACTTTAGCATTTGAAGGATTGATGATTTCTGATAATTCAAGCTACATTGCTGTAGTTGCCATTGATTTTGGAACCACATACAGTGGTTTTGCGTTTGCCTTCAACCACAAGGAAGGAGAAGGTGGTATCCATATGAACAAGGCATGGGGAAACGAGCAAGGTTTTTCTAATCTGAAAACTCCAACGTCATTGCTTCTTCGTCCCGACGGTCAATTTGATTCATTTGGATTTGAAGCAGATGAGAAATACGCCAACTTTTTTAATGGAGAAGATCAAGAGTACATGTATTTCAAACGATTCAAAATGACACTTCACAAATCTGAGGTAAAATCTTTAAGCTATGAACGCTTGTTTACCTATGTTATATTTCTGCTTATCCTGCAGTAAAAAAATATTCCTGCATTCGAAGACAGTGATTGGGAAACATTCTCAACAAAACTATTGCACGCAAATGATGGCTGCATCTACAGTCACAATAACTGAAAAAATATATAAGGACTCGGCCACAGAGGTCTAATTAGTGTCTCAGAGAGAGGCTGTGGAGAGAGGAAAAGAAAGCGCGCCTCATCGTCCTCTGTACTCTTGCTGTTTTTGGTTTTTTGAATTTTATTTCAATAGAGTTAAAAAGTGTGACGTCATAAAAAATTAAATTTGTGAAACTATGAGATTTGTCAGGATATTCTGAAAGAACAAAATCCGAGAGGCCTACCTGCCAAAAACTAGCATTGTGGGGCAAAATGTCTCTGAGATATTAGCCCAGTTATGCTCTGATGACTCGATCCATACAAATCCTTCTAAATTTGAATTGGGCGTAAACGTTTGGACCCTTTTCAGTGGGTTGTTAGCAGATTTTGTAGGAATATGTAAGCGTTACCCTAAGTAGTCTAAGTCTAGCTTGTGAGATAATGCATTCTCATATATAAACTCGTGTTTTTCCATTGTAGAGTTTGGACCGTAACACTAAGTTGACAGCAAGTAATGGAAGAAAATTGGAAGCTCTCACCGTGTTCTCACTTTCAATAAGATATCTCAAAGATAAAGCTATCGAAATAATCCGTGAGGTGACTGGAGACGATGGGTACAATGCTATAGACATACAGTGGGTCTTAACGGTACCTGCTATTTGGAAACCTGCTGCTAAACAATTTATGAGAGAAGCTGCCTACAGGGTGAATAATACTAATATACTTTTCTTTCCTTTCTTTTTTCTCTATTTTTTGCTAAGTGTGTGAAAAAGTAAAAGGAATGAAGTTTATAGATTTTAACTCGTCATTACACTGATCGATGTTGTTGTTTCAGTTTGTTTCATTGTTTTTGTTTGTTCTTCTATCCGTTTTGGTCATCAGTTCATGTTTTAAGTAAGGAATTGAGTGTAACATAAAATAACCTTGAGAAAGCTAGATAGAAAGCCAACCTTGTGAGCGAACTCGCCTCGCAAGGTAAATTGAAATTTGCAAATCATTGTGTTTCATTGTTACCTATGATGGAATTTACATTATCAGATTTATATTATATTATTTTTTTTTTTTTTCGATGGACTAATATTTTAAGGGTGTAAAAACCCAAATGCACTCATAGAAAGCTGACCACTGCGGTCAAATTGTCTGTAGTAAATGAACTATTGCGTTATTGTGGCTATAATAACTCTGCTACGTGTAATACCATTCTATCCTTATTTCAAGGCTGGTATTGCTTCTGCTAATAACCCGGAACAGCTGCTAATTGCTTTAGAACCAGAGGCTGCATCAATTCATTGCAGAGACAAAAAGATGAAGGACTTCACAAGTGAAAGGGGTGATGCTGGTATATCTGATGTCTTCGCACGCCCAGCGGCAAAATATTTGGTGGTAGATATAGGAGGTAATCTAATTGATTGCAATAGCACTCAGTTAACCACTTTGAATTATATATAAACCCATGTGAAGAAATACAAGACGGTCTTGGATTCTGAGTTCCACGCCTTGGATTGCGGATTCCAGGTACTGGAATCCAGTCTTTGTCAGTGGAACTTGGATTATAGATTTTTGAATTCCTTGAGCTGTTTCTTGACTACAAAGCCCAGGATTCTGGATTTCACAAGCAAAATGTTTCCAGATTCTGGATTCCACAAGCAGAAATTTCACGATTCCCTTTCATGCGGCTACAATTATCTTGTCTTTGAGTATTTAATCATCCTTACTAGTAGTTTCGATGCTACATTTTATCTTTTGTTGCATAGAACTATTCTAATTAATTGTCAGACTTCTGAGATCGACCTCCTTTTCTTACCATTCTCTATTTAAGTCGTATTGAAAGGACTCAGTAATGGGAGTGATTTATAGTAAAAATAACGCACTTGCCTTGTTATGAAATGAACGAGAAATTAAAATACTGAGGATAAGAAGAGGAGCAGAGTGCAGAAGCGCGTTTCTTCAACACTGTAAATTAGGCGTGTTTGAGCAAAACCATGCAAGTGTGATATGTAGATGCAATAGAGGTGGCGTCAGTACATGTCTGACTTTTGGCTTGCATTTTCTATTAGCCTGTGCCGCAGACGAAACTAAACTTTAGTTACGTCCGTCTGCGAAACAGCTCTGAAATCCTTGATATGGGCCCCCACCTGTGTGCCAGGAATTGAGTACGCGTCATGACTGTCCTGTTGAAAATTCCATTGTCAATTTGCCAGTCAGAATGAAAGGAAATTAGAAACGCTCTTCCGGCAATTTGTAAATCCGTTGGGGCCCAGAACAAGGATATCGGCGCTGATTCGCATACGTTAGTGACTGAGGCTAAATCATGTCTGTGACGCAGGCTATAGCATTTATTTGAAAGGTTATTCGTTTTGGCACAAAAGTGTGCGGGTATTTTGAACTAATATACAACGTTTTCTTTTTCTTTTTATTATAAAGGTGGAACTTTAGACGTGACAGCTCATGAAATCTTGACAAATGGCAATATAAAAGAAATATTCAAGGTAACCGGGGGACCTTATGGTGGAACAAAAGTTGACGAGGAGTTTGTTTCACTTCTTAAGCGATTCTTTGGAACTAAAGTGATGGAAACATTCTCTGCAAAATATCCAGGAGAATGGCTTGATATGATGAACGAGTTTGAGATGAAGAAGCGGGGGCGACGAGCGTTCGAGGGTCAAACGACCAGACTTCGACTCCCACGTACCCTAACAGCATTGATATCAGAGTATCGTGGACCTGCTGGTAAAATAGATGGAGTCCAGTTCCTCAGGAATGAATATCTCTGTTTAGACGCCCCAGCGATGAAAAGGTTGTTTAAGCCAGTTTTGGATGGAATCGTGAACCACCTGACCAGCCTGCTGCAGAATCCGTGTCTTAAGGAATTGCAATTTTTCTTTTTGGTTGGAGGCTTCGCCCAGTCTGCTCTTCTCCAGAGTGCCATCAAAGAGCAATTTAGTAGCAGGTAGTATGTCTTAAGGCTTACTTATTCAAGTAGATTTTCCAGACCAAACTTCTATTAAAAATGAATGGTGAGCACAGATAGCAGGTAGTATGTCTTAAGGCTTACTTATTCAAGTAGATTTTCCAGACCAAACTTCTATTAAAAATGAATGGTTAGCACAGAACGCAATTTGATCTCGCGCGTTTGGAGCTTCTTTCACCCATAACCTGTGCACCCGTATTTTTACCATTTGTCAAGTGAAATTTACGCAAAGCACAGCGTTGGAGCAAAAGCGTTTTGACCTTAGATCGTTGTCCCCGCACTCAGTAACCTTAGTGGTTACTATTTTATCTCTTATCGTTGACATATTTTATCGCATTTTACTATTCATTGTATTTTTTCTGTTTTAAACTTTTGCTTACTGTTTGTACCGTATACTTATGCTAATCTTTTATTTTAATCAGTCTTGAAAATGTCTTCGGAGAGAAAGTAACGTATAGTGACCTTTTAACGTCAACTTTTATCACAAAATGTATATGCAAGAAATTCGTCATCGATAATCGCGATGTATGCAACAAATTTTGGTTAAGATAAACTGTGACGTTCAGGCATGCGTGAAGGAATGGTCTATAACAGGCCAGAAATTCACGCCTAAAACCTAGTAAATTGGACTTGTAATGAAACCGAGGGAAAGTCGTTTCACATTAGCCGCCCGTGCCTCCTCGAGACGGATCCCGCAAGGCTGATTAGCAGTAATCACGCATAAAAATTTTAGTCCATTCGGCTTTGTATTTACCTTCCTAATGATTGTTGCGGGCAACAAGGGGGCTTGAAATCGAAAATTCCAGGTTGTTATCAGGCATAGTGCACGGCGCGTATTTAGCCTGCTTCGTTTGGATTTCCATCAAGAATGGATGAAATATGCACAGAAAAAAGTCTCTTTTGACGCGTCTTTGATGTAATCCTAGGTGTTTTAATCATTTATAGCGTGTTTAATTGACACGCTATTGTCATTTCCATGTTTATCGGCTACTGTCATGCCTTAAACTACGTGTAAACGGACGCAACAACTCCCAATATTGTTGGGCCTAGAATGTTGGGAGTTGTTGCGTCCCTAACTGGAAACATAACGTAAACACCTGTGTTTCCGTGCACGTTGGCGGTGGTGGGCAAACGGATGCAACAACTTCCAACAACACGCAACAACATGCAACAGGGTGGGCGAAAGGACGCAACATGTAACATCCAATGTTGGGAGTTGTAGGCCAACAATGCTGCGACTGTTTGCAAGGGGCGTTAATAGTGGATGCTGTTAGTAAATGTGGCACAGATCATTTTTGACATTTACTTGCATGTACATGTACAGGTGGACGGACTTCTGGACGGTCACGTGATTACAAAAACTTTTCACATCTGTCAGGGGCGGATCCAGGATTTTTTTTAGGAGGGGTGCACTCGTCTCTTGCTCTACTTCAACACCAATAAACCACATAGTTTTTGTTTTGCAGAATACCAGTTGTAGAAAACTGCAGGTCATCTCAGGAAGGGGGGGGGGGGGTTGCGCACCCCCTGCACCCTCCCCCTAGATCCGCCCGTCTATAGGTTACAATTTTTTCTTACGCATGGTGCTCTGCACGTGCGAGAGCTCTGCTATAGTTTTGTGTTGTCATAACTATCAAGATTGAAGGGTTAACCGCAACATCTTATTAGCCCCGGTTATATAAGAGTTATTGAAAGAACGCTTTCTTAATGCTGTTGAGTGTTGATACCCACCTGTGGTGGTTTGTGGGTACAAGGTTCATTCCAAGTCGTCTCTGCAACGACCACCCAAAATTCTTCCAATTCGCTGTTGGCATTTTCTCTTGACAGTTTGTAACTTTGACATTAACCCTTAAGTAATCTATCGTAAAAATTGTAATAACGCCGTTCTAAATGTCTTGCCTCATACACTGGTTTATCGGAGGACCTGTTTGCTAAAAACTGCCCCATCAACCTTTTTGACAAAAAAATAATAATGTTATTTGAATCTTCTATTTCCTTTTCCCCCTTAACAGATTTTCTCTAAAATTGAAAAATATTACTTTTTAAAGACCAACATTACACTAAACATTTTAGTTTGTTTAATTATAATTCTTTTGCATTCTTGTTATTTTCACTAGATATAAGATTTTAGTTCCGCTGGACGCAAGTATTGCAGTAGTGCAAGGGGCAGTGATGTTTGGTCAAAAGCCGCACGCAATTGATTCCAGAATCATGTCCACAACTTACGGTTTTGAAACCAACCAACGCTTTGATCCCATACTTCATCCCATGGAGAAGAAGTACATTGTAGACGATGTCGCTTATTGTAAAGATTGTTTTGTTGTCATGGTTAAAGAAAAAGAAATGGTAAAAATAGGAGAGATGAAAAGATTTCCAAATTACAAGCCATTGGGAAAAAGTCAAACAAGCGTTCGGTTCGAGTTTTTCACCTCTACCGACCCAAAGGTAAAATACATTACTGATGATGCAGTGGGGCCTTCGATAGGAAAAGTTGTCGTCGAATCTCCTGATATCTCAAAGGGCACTGACCGAAATATTGACGTTTGCGTCTATTTTGGAGGCACGGAAATCAAAGTGACAGCAATTGATCTTACAAGTCGTAACACTGCCACCGCATATTTGGATTTTTTGTGCAAGAATTAGTGTCCGTTTTTCAAATTGTGTAAAACACGTTTCTGTTGGGAAGTAGCTTGGCCTTTTCACAGAGAGAACTTTTTGACTTTTTGGGCTTTTTTATTAATCAGCAACGTCATATCCTTTAGCTTCTAATTTTTACAGTTCTCTCTGCCAAACCAGTGTTACACCCATTTTTATATCGCCCAGGAAGCCAGCTGCTTGGTTTAAACTAATGCTGGCGTAAGTCTAATCTGATAATCTGATTGGTTAAAAGAGCCTTATTAGCATCAATCCTTCAAGATGATTACTTTGTCAAAATGGTTTTTCTACCCAAGTTTTTAATAATGTAAGTCAACTGGCCAATAAAAAAAAGAAGAACAATATAAAAACTATGAAGAACATATTTTCGCACGAATCTTTAACAATAATTAACAAGAGGAAAGTGTCAAATTTACAGCTGAGAAGTTCCTTAGCTGTTGTTGGAAATTCAAGAAGTGTTAGGCTTGTCGAAAATGACTGGTTAAACTTTTCTATATATTAACTGCTGATGTGTTTGAAAAAATAGAGCGTCCTAAAGAAATTAAATACAGTACTTGGACAAGAGTAGAAATTACAACAATAGATGTTTACTCAGCAAGCACCTAGAAAAATAGGAGAGACTCGCTCTGGTGATCAAACTAACTTTTAATTTACGTTGAAACTACCAAAGGTGGTCGAAGCTTGAAATATGGCCATCGGCACTGTTGCGTAACGTTCAAAAGTAAGGATTTGTATGGGAGAAAAAACAATTGTTTCTGTAGCCTACGAATGTAAAAAGATATTTAAAAAAAAAATCGGCTAACCTTTCTTAAGTTGTCTTATTTGAACCCATTTGAGCAAACCGGTTCCAAAAACACCCATTAAATGGCCATAAATCAGCTCGGAAACCACACAGGAAAGAAGAAACACACAACTTAAGCAAGGGTAGCTGATTTTAAAAAAAATCCTTCTACATCAGTAGGTTACAGAAACAATTGTTTCTTTTCTCCCATTCAAATCCTTATATTTGAAAGTTACTCAACAGTTCCGATGGTCATATTTCGAGCTTGGGCTCCCTGTACATGTGAAACTACTGACTGATACGAGAGAGTACGAGAAAATACCTCTAAAAATGGTCGAAATAAAGAAGGTAGTCTTTTCCTGAAAAGTACTGATAAAAGGTGAAGTTGAGGTCAAAATGTCAAATTGTGTAATTTCTTAACTGTCGGAAAAACGTTAGCACCTGACGTTTTTAGTAGCTGTTGGTTCATCCCTCGCGCACATTTTGAGACAAATTTAGTGATGGTCAGTTGCTATGATTACAAGATACTGCGTCATAAGTAGCATGTGGTCAAGCCATTTTAGGGTGAAAACAAATGTTTTTTCAACTTCTTTCAACAGTAAAAGCAAATCTTGTGGCTAAAACCATGCATAGTGCTTATTTATGTCTTATTTGTCACGTAAAGCACAAAAAAATCACCATTTATCGCGGTTTAAACCTGATTTCCAATTCTTAGTAGAATCCAACATGGCGGTCAAGATGGCGATCGTGTTTGGTGACGTCACAGGCCTCCAGCAGCGCCACCACCCAGAAAATATACCTCATCTTGTTAAGAAGATCAAAGGCTTTCCACTAAAGGTAAAGTCGTTTCGAAATACTGCAACATATCAAAAACTCCGGGGAGGGGTTCCCTGCACCCCCCGGCCTCTTGTACCACGGTGGGGGTATGAATTTGCGTGTACGTGCGAGGGTTAACAAGGTTCCTTTGAGAAACTTACAAGCAATATTTGTATTACTGTGGAAGTGTACTAAAATGGGACACCTGCCTTGCTAAATTCATATCAGGAGGAGGATGACTATTTTTAACGTCGAACCTGCAGACGAAAGTGTAATTCTAAACAAAATCCTAAACTACTAATAAATGATTCTTTATGATACCCAACGTCGCATTGTGATAAAATATCCTTTAGTTAACTTATCATACAGTGACCTCTAAAGAACATCCCCTTAATTTTAACTATCAAAGTGGATAAGATTAAACTAGAAAAAAAGCCAAAATTTCGATTTCTTGCATATTTGTTTAACAATTGACACTGGCTTGCCAGTAACAACAAGCTTAGAGACTTGAGGAGGGTCGGAGAGTGTCGGGTTAAAACTTTTTACTATTCATATATTTTTAAAGTAAACTGAAACTGTGTATAGATTTTATTTTGTTTTCTAATGTTATAACGAACACCATTTTCACTCCATTGTATTTTTGTTTCTATACCAAGAATTTGTTATCAGGTCTTATTGTTTAGGTGATATTACAGGAGGAGAATTGATTAATTCTTTTGATTAATTATTTTAATCATTCTTTCATAAAAGTCATAAAAAAGTCGATAATAAGGTATACGCCTATTTTGAATGCTTTGCCCAATATCTAAAGATGATACAACGGCTAGTGAGGTCTAACCATAACTACTGAAACTGCAATTCATCAAATCAGTCGTTTACGAAATGTTGCTAAATTTTTTAATATTGCCATACGCTTTCTTTTGGTTTTCATAAATCATCGTTGCAGCCCCATTTAGAGTTTTCCTTGAGTATCTTTATGACGTCAGAATACACGAAATAGCACCAACTCAACTGTAATGACGTCAAGTTATGTAAATACACTGTATGTGAAGAGCGACTGCTGGAATTAAAATGAGTTGTTCTAACAGAGGGAAAAGCAGTTTCATTACCGCGAGGGTCCCTAACAACCGATTAGCCAGACTTTAACAGCTTGCTCGTTGTTTGTGTCTATCCCCAAACCCGTCCTGCTTTTAAACTTCCTAGTTTCGTTATCAGTTGAAATTTTGTAGCCAATCTAGTGACGTCATTTTTTCGTCGAGAATTGGTAAAGTCTAAAACCAAAAAAACATACCATTGTTTGTACTGTTTAAGACACAGTGTTCTTCGTTTTCATTGTACTAAAGATTTTACCACTAATTTGTCCTACGAACATCATTTAGATCCCTTTTAGGAGTTTAAATTACGGTATTTGCTTTGAACTTTATCAATAAGGAGTTGTTCTTAAAAAGCAGTCCTTGCTTTTCTTGATGCTTGATTATTGACGCTTTCCCTCAGACGCCGGATTCCTATTAAAAGAAAAGAAAGAGGACATCTAGATCTCTAAATAAATAATCAGCTTATCAGGTTTCAGGAAATTTGGATTTTGCTGATAATTAGAACAATATGGCGTCATAATAACAACAAATGGCGTGATTGTGTCAATCAAGTTATGCCGAGATGTTGTAAATGACGTGTGCGTTAGTGTGTGTAATATTGGTGGCCATATCGTGACTGGTTTTAAAGCCACAAGGGGAAGGGGGGGGGGGGGGGGGGGGCTCTGAGGCCCCCCCCCCAGCACCAGGATTATAAGACAATATCTGGAAGGGTCCCCCCATCATCCCTTCAGTGGGGGGGGGGGGGGGGGGGGGGGGGGGGGGGGGGGAGGGAGCTCTGAAGCCTCCTCCCCAGCATCATGATTATCAGTCAATATCTAGAAAGGTCCGCCCATCATCACTTCAGGTCTTTCAGAAACATCTTTGGCTTATCCTGGGCTGTTATGCTTTAAAGGATTTTGTCGTAAATAGTATTTCTTAATGCATGATAATGAATCGGTCACAGTATTGCGAAAACTGAGCTAAGAGTCCAATTAAAATCGTTCCCCCAAATTTGGAAGAGAACAGAGTTTAAGAGGCAGAATACAAATCCTAAAGAGTACTGGACTTAAGGCAAAAACGGAAGGCCTGCTTGTCGTAGCCCAAGATCAAAGTTTGTCGACGAGTTCTTGCCAACACAGATTTTTGAACCAAGACGTCAACCCTATGTGCAGAACCGCTACGAGGAAACCATCGATCCAATTACTAGTGGCTGCCCTGAATTAGCAAAGTTCGAGTACATATATGAGACATGACAAGACAGCCTCTTACATCCAATATCTGTAAAGTGTACAACATAAATTAGAGGAAAGTGGCGGACAAGTATTGTACCAGTGTACACTAGAAACAGTAACAGAAAACGAAAATGAAACAAGTACATGTTCTATCCTCCGAGCCACCGAAACATGCCAGTTCAACTACCAATAAAGAAATCAAATCCAGCAGGTCAGACATCGTTATCAAGAGCGTAGAGCTGAAGAAATGCCTGCTCATTGATACATGTATGACTGTACCCGCTGAAGGAAATACATATCTCAAAATGAAAAGCTATCAAAGTATAAGGAACTTAGAGATGGAATTCTCGAGGATGTGGGGTCTTAAAACAGAAACTGTGCCCATAGTTATTCGGGCACTTGGCCTAGTTGAAAATGGCCTCAGCAAAAAGGGTGTAAAAAATCCCTGGAACATCAACATTGAGGAACTTCACTAGAAGATCAGCCTACAGGGCAAAGTCCTTGTACGAAACTAGTGCTCTCTATCAACTAGATGACGCCCTCCCAGCCACTAATAATAATAATCATCATCATCATCATCATCATCATCATCATCATCATCGTAGTAGCGGTAGTGGTAGTGGTAGTGGTAGTAGTAATAGTAATGTAAATTTTACCTAGACAGCGACGCCTGGTCAAATATACGTTTTGTTTTTTTTTATTTATTTCAGGTAATTTTTGTTTTTCCTTTGTTTCCTTTGTTTCGTACAGTAAAAACTCGCGAGTAAGAACCTAGGTTTTTCCAACTTAGCCTAAATAGGTTCTTATAAAAATGGTTTTGAGTGGGATTTTAGGCTAATAAGGTTAATATATAGGTTCTTAATTTGATAGAGGCACTAGCGATCAGCACAGATAACTACTACAGGGCATATGCGATATGGAATATATTGCTGTATTAAACAATTATCTAGAATACTTTTGGATGATAACCATACATGCGTGTCTTTCATGATACAGCGTCCAAAAAATGCTGTGTTACATTTTGAATCTTACTGGTGACTGAAACCTAGCCTAAAATTATATTTCTGTACTTTCATCTATGCCTCTTATTTGTAAAATATGAAGAACCTATTGAGAATTTTAGGCTAAAATGGTTGTTATGAAAAGGGAGTATAAGTCAAAATTTTAGCCTAACAGGTTCTTAAATTTTAGGTTCTTATACGCGGGCTTTTATTGTACCCAAAAACCATGGAAGAATAGAAATTACCCGGGATAAAAATTTAGCTGCAACATATACACTGCACAAAGCCTTAAAATCTATTGTTAAATCTTTAATGTTAAATCTGTACAAAGTACCTACATTGGCATTCTAACTGATTTAAACATGTCCTTTTCCTTTCTGAAAATCAGTATCTACCTTTACTTTTACGTTTTTTTCTTTTTACTTATAAATTTTGTTATGCGACCAACTAACGTTAAAGGCCTATTTTACCATCATCAACAAAAGCCACTCTAGACCTACATGGAAACAATGTTTGAGCAGTTGTGGTCTGATGGCCACCAGAAAATGGCTTGATCTAGTTTGAAATTAAGTTTACTGCAAAATCTTCTGGAGAAAATGCGTTAAATACAACACTTTAGATTTAATCGAGGCTGTAAGATATCGTTGTTTAGTGTGGTTAAACATCTGTTTCCTTGCAATGCAAATCAAACCCGGAATCGATTGCTGGATAGGTTTTTCTTATTATTATTCTATAGTTGGGCTTTCCCCCTCGAGGGTCGAGAAGTCTCTTTTAGAGGACAGCATAGGTTATCTTTATTAAAAAAAATCGGCAAATCTTAAAATGGCGTTTTAGCCACCACCACTTCCCTCTCCTTTTGCAATGATAAGTGACTCGATTTGCTTGTATTTCCAACGGTAAAGAGAGAATGTTTTAATTGCCGGTTTCAACTTGGAGAATCCCGCGAGAACAATGTAAAATTGGAGCCCAAAAGGTTAAATTTACTGTAACGCTTACCCTGATTTTTCTTCTTCTGGGATCACACATAACACCTCTCCAGCTCTTATTACTCTTCCTCCACCATCTTGAAGGCCAGGCCACAAATAACATGCAATATCCTCTTGGTTCTCTTGGGCTGATGGACGTGATTTTTCTCGCCCCTTGAAACGATTGTGGTATCCCAACTTTTTGTGGATGTTGATATCGAGTTTAAGGGTTTGATACTCAAGATTCATCGGTGGGACTTGAGTAACAATTCGCCAAGATAAACGTAAGCAAGCTTTAATGTACTGATCGAGGTTTTCTAGTAATTGGTACGATGGGGTAAATAAGCATGATTTATCTTCTTCGTACCACTTGTTCCATTTCATGAGGACTTTATCTAGAAAACCCTACGCGAAATAAAGGAAGGCATGAGAATCGAGTTGCTTGTTTTACACACTTGTCGTAAATGTTCTAACGTTGACGTTTTTCTTTAACAGTATGTCAATTAAAGAGGCAAAAAAGATTTTTTTTTAGGTAAATGCATCCTTTCAAAAATATGCTCAATATGAAGAGCAGATGTCTACTCATGACCTTGTGTCCGGTTAACAAAATAGCCTCTCCATTATTGTAGTTACTGATCCTTTCACGTACAGAATGTACTACAATAATTATAAGGAGCAGGAGAAATGAATGAGAAATGCATACATTAAGAACCTCATCTATATTTCACCTTAGCAAGACAATAAATAAATTAATTAGTGAGTAAATAAATAAGTAAATAAATAAACACAATCGGAGTAAAAAGATTCATGTCTGATGAATACTATAGTTCAGCAAAATGAAATCTTTTGCCTTGTAGCTTTGATGGTAACATAAAGGCCAAGAAATATGATATGTCAAGTAACGAACGTCAACAAGGTCCATGTGTTATAATGGTTCTATTATTTCTTGGACGAAATTTCAACGAAACAAGTAACCCATACAGTAACCCATGACACTCACTTTCCAGAACTATGAGGAGGGAGGAGTGGGGTATATCTGTACATTGTTACAAGACTTTTCGAGAACAAATTTAATGCGAATTACTGAATTATTTAGTAAATAATAGAACCAACACACCTCCATGAGTTTATCGAGGAAACATCTTTCTGCATTTTCTTTCAATGAAAGTAGCAATCCATCCATGGCATTCTTTGGGAATTTGGTTGGCTCTTCCATTATGCACGCTTTGAATGTAAATTGGAAAGGATCTCCGGAACCTTTTCTCTCTCTAAATAACTGACAAAACAAAAAAGCTGAAAAGACTGGCGAAATACATGTTTTGACAACAGCACGTCTTTTTTTGTAAATGTTGCCACATTTTATTTCATCACAATGTCATTTGTACTTCCTTTTACGTATTTAATTATGTAGCCTGTAAACAGATGTTTTATTTTTCTTTTCGTTCTTTTCCTTGCGCTGGCAGTCAATAAATCCCCTGCGGTTTATATTTTATCACCCGGGCTCGACGGACTTTGAAGAGAAAATAAAGGGTCTGTGAACAGGCTGTTAATCATGTAGCCAGCTGCAAACAGCAGACGTATTTCCGGTCGACGCTTTCTCCCTCCGAAAAGTACTATTTTCGGAGGGAGAGAAGCGACGACCGAAAATACGTCTGCAGTTTGCAGGCTAGTAATTATGTTGCTACCAATCTTAATAATGCCGACTTACTGTCTTCAAAACGTCGTCATTTCATCTCTCCTTGTTTATCCCAAAGAGTTCTGACTCATGCAATTATGCTTTAGTTCACTGCGGAGATGCCGAGCTCGCGAAGCGCGCAGCGGAGCATCACGAGTTAGAGAACTTGGTTATCTATGCATCCAAGAAATTTTGGTTCTGAAAAAATCGTTCGTACGTATGTCGGTACGTCCATACGTCCACCCATTCTTCCTATCTGATAAATATTTTCGATATATGATCTTAGTCAGCTAATCACCAACCAACACGTGTCACCCCGGTCTCGTACCAATTCCTGGACTCAAAAGTATTTAGCACAAGATATTCCTGTTGTCGGTTAATCCTGAGTCTTATTTGGAGCCCACTGATCATTAAGTGTTGTGCTTAACATTTTGTCGAAAACTGACGAAAAGAAACCCACCGGTCTTGATATGATTCCGAGCAAATTAATTGTTGAAAATGGCTGCTAGTATCGTCGCACCCTCTTCGTACCTCTATATTCTCAAAGTCTATTCTCACGGGGATATATGGAATAGATTGGGAAACGGCCAAAGTAACTCCACTTTTTTAAAAAGGGCATCATTTAATCGGATACTAACAACTATAGGCCAATACATGTAATCCTTGTAGTTTCGAAACTCTTTTAAAAGTGGTTACAATCAACTTTACCATTATCTAGATGATAGTAAATTGCTACTAGGTTGCCAATCAGGGATCCGTTTTCTATATAGTACGCTCACGGCTTTGTTTAAGGCGATAAATGCTAGGTTAGAAAACATCGACAATATGGCCTTCTAAATGGCGTTATCTTTATTGACCTTACTAAGGCATTCGACACCACTGATCATGAGATCATCTCCCAACTCCTTGCTGGTTGCGGTACCAAGAGTGTTTGCTGGTGACACCAATCTTACGTTATCCGCTAAGACGTTAACAGAGCTTGAGCTAGCTTTAACCCCTGAATTAAATAACCTTGTTGCTAAAAACAGAGCTAATGATTGCTGGATCAAAGCAAAATTGACGCGGACCAAATTATCAACAGGGTCGATCATACCAAATCCTTGGGTCTTACCATAGATGCTCAACTCTCGATAAGGTAAACACGTTAAAGAGATCAAGTCTCTTCAGCTCTTAAGGCGCCCTAAAATTGCGCGGCCCTTGATATCGAAAGAAACTGCGATTCAAATTTATGACGCTTTAATTAGGCCTCATTTTGATAACTGCGAGCCCCTTCTGGGACTGTTTGATTAGTAATTTGAGTCATAAGCTTTATAAATTACAGAATAGTGCAACTATAGTTATTACTAAATAACAAGTAGTTTAAGCGTTATCACCCAAATAGTTTCTTCTAGGGGAAAAACAAGACGGGACCGGAGAAAGCGATGGAAATGGAGCCTAGCTATCTACCATGTTTTATCGATTTCTCCTTGACGCATTCCCTGCTTTTAAAAGGCGCGGCAAACTAAGGGGTCCTCTTTCGATGATCAAATTTGTATAGGTAATGGCATGATTTGTAGTGATATTTGGCATAAATACCACGAGTGATATTTCTAAATTTGAGACAATTTTGAAATATCGCAAGTGGTATTTATGCCAAATATCACGTACAAATCATGCTATTATTTGTTTATACTACTACCCGCAAAAGGTTTGTAATTTTCACATGTAGGTATTTCAAATTAAGCTGAAATACCACTGCTCTAAGCTAATCAGATTGTAGAAATTTCTCATGTAGTAGTATAAGAGTTTTAATTTTACAGGTGAAATAATATTACACGAAAAATTTGTGACTTAATATTGAATACTTTTAGAATTTTGTCTGTAAAATCGTATAATTGTAGGTGTGAACAAACTGGGGTAGGAGATAACTGCTGGCTTTTACCTGAGCCTTGTAAGTTTTTTTTTTTTGGATCAAAATATTGAGTTGGTCATGGCTTCCAGTTTCCTTCGAATTTTTTTAAAGATGTTTTGTGCTATTACGTGGGCTAGCCTGACATGTAATTAAAAACAGGACGACTAAAATTGGATTTCCTACCTTTCTTCTTGTTACAACAAATGTTCCCATCTGGGCAGCATTTTCAACCATTACTCTGGTAAACTCTTTAAATAAGTCGACGCACCCGTTTCTTGCTTCTTTGACTTGTTCATAGGCCGCCTGATTCAACGAAAAGACACTTTCAATTAACCCATTTTTACATCCTGGCAGTTTTTATTTTTCAATAGACCTTTTTACCGATATGGCGGCCATAATGAATTAAGACGGAATCCATCAGGAAATTGAGTAATTGTAATTTTCAGTGGACAAAAACCTTGTACCAGAATAGTTTAAATAATATCGCAATCTTTTTTTTCATTTTTCAAGGGCTATAGATGTAATAAGTTATCTGAAAGAAAAACACCTGAAAGAAAATTTCTCATGGGAGCCCGAGAAAAAGAATGTCGAATTTCACAAAATGACATCTTACACATGAAATTTTCATAATTTTACACGTGTTTTCATAATTTCTGTGAACTCTGACATTTATTTTGTGAGACTCCAATGAGAAATAGTCTTTGGTGTTATTTCAGATATTTTAAATTATATCTATAGCTCTTGAAAAATGTAAAAAAGAATGCGGTATCGTTTAAATTATTCAGTGCTGGTACAAGGTTTTTGTCTACTGACAGTTGAAATTACTCAATTTCCTGATGGATTCCATCTTAATTAGATTAAACGAGTATTACAGGACGCCCAGGGGGCATGAGCACGATCCGATATACTCGCTCAGTATTTACGCGCGCTTTTCGGGCCAATTTCTGTTTAAGCTTTCCTAGAAAGATATTGTAATGGGGAAAAAAAAAAAGATCTTTGAGCGGTATTTGGATGCAATAATGATCGCCTTTTTCCCGAGAAATATACAGCGAAGTTCTCTTTTTGCTCAAAAAGCGCGCGTAAATACTGAGCGAGTGCCCCCTGGGCATACCATAATACTCCTTAAATCTAATAAATTCAATATGGGCGCCGTATCGGTAAAAAGGTCTATTGGTGTTTATTAGGTACGTTCCTCTGTGATGATCCGGATGAGGATTAGTGATCCTAGATCATACTGATCATGCATGAAAGGAACCGATGAATCCTCTATGGGTAAGGATCGGTTGGCGATCAGAGCCTAAAAATGGCTTTTACGCTCCATGTTCCTTTAGATAGTATTTTTGAGTCGGTTATTGCTGTTGGTGGAGTCTCACTTTGGGTGAGCTCTATTTGCTGGGATACCCAATAATGACAAGATCAGTTTGGCATAAATTTGGCCTGGCCTCAAGAGTTTAAGAATATCAAGCTAGGAAATCCAGATACACAAGAAGGTTATCCCAGCAAAGGTGAGGGCACACCCAACTTTCTTGTTGAAGTTAGCAGAGAGGCCTTGTGCCTCGCTTTCATGTCATAAAAACACATATATAATGTCCAGGATAGCAGGAACGCCCCTCCTCCCCCTCCCCCCGACACATTAATCAGTCACATTTATTTGTTTCAGAAATAAATTTCCTAATTTTTGGCCTAAAATGCTAACATCAACTCTAATTTCATTCTCCTAGCACTTCTTTATTACATACTCAAACCTCATTCAATAAGCATGTTAAATATATAACTTTAAAGCATGTTTCAGTTTTCTATGAGTTTTTCGGCACAATAAACCATAAGTTTTTAACCAATCAGAACGCGCGTACTATCTTACTTATTTTATAAAAAGTTATAAGAGTAGCCACTTGAATTAGAACTATGAAACTATGAAACTATGAAACTGTTCTGAACATTGAAATACAAATATGACCGCCGCCCGGTTAGCTCAGTTGGGAGAGCGCCGGTCTGCTGAGCGGGAGGTCGCGAGTTCAAATCCTGGCCGGACCAACACTCAGGGTCTTAAAAATAACTGAGGAGAAAGTGCTGTCTTTGTAATGACATCTGCTGATAAACCGGAGGTCCCGTCTCACAAACCTTGTTCACATATAACTCTGTGGGACGTTAAAGAACCCACACACTATTCGAAAAGAGTAGGGGACGTAGTTCACGGTGTTGTGGTCTATCTTCATCACTTACATCATCACTCATCATGGATTGGGAGGGTTCAGTGGGCTCATAAATGGACTGATAGCGGCTGCCATCAGCGCCGTTAGTATGCTGATGTCCGAGCCCACTGCAGAAAGCTATGTAAAGAGGACATGTATGTTTGTCCTCTCAATCGCGACATTTACATTTACATTTACATATGAACTTTGCTACCGATAGGACCGTTTCCCGGTAAACAGGCAAATTGATTAGTTAAGGTTTGTAGTTTTTCGACTTTCGTTCTGTTCTGTTCCAGTTGTTCCATTCGCGTGTGTTTTACAGATGTTTTTGAAACACATTCTCCGTTTTCTGTGTCCCACAATAAAGGTATTATAGATGTAATTCTAAATACAATGGTATGTTTGCTTTAATTAGTTTCTCAGATACGAAATTTATCTCGTCGTTCCGAACTTTTTTTTTCTCTTATCAGTTTAAATGTCCTCCTCGTTTATAAGCCCACCCAAAAACCCTTATGGAGTTATATAAGCCCAGGGCTTTAACATGGGATTTTACGGTATAGAGAGTTATATTTACTAGGGGAAGACTGAATAGGAAAGCATGCTGAGAAAGAATGGGACACAAGATACTAGAAAACAATAAGTCATAAATATACTTCTGATAATAACAGTGTAAACGCACAACAAAAATCATGAAACTACACCAAAAATAAAACACAAACAGCGGTGATAAACAATATGAAAAGCCGTATTTTTTTAACCTGCGTTGCAGCCATCCCACGCCCTCGTCTAAACCATTTGTATAGTCTTTCTGCGAATTAGTGAACAAAAACTCGTTCTAATATCCTGCAGAGTCGCAAGGACATATGTGAGCGTTTCTTATGGGCGGGTTTCTTACGCGTTTCTTATGCGCCTCACGATTGGCCTAATTCTTACGTGTGCGTGACGGCTGGGCGCAGTGACATCTCAAAATTCACAGAAGGGAGTTGGCAAGGATCGTTCACGGCAATGAACAATGAAAGAGCAGTTCGAACTTGAAAGCATTCTTCTGAAGAGAAAAAATGCTTTGAGAGAATTCCTTCAAGGCCAGAAATCGCTTGTAAATTTGCCGACTAGTTTTCCAGCGTCTTCTTATCGCTGCAGATGTACTGCCGCGTATTCCGCAATCTAGCCGACAGTTCAAGCGTCAAAACCAATCAGGAAAACATGATATTCTCGATACAAAAAAAAAAAAAACAAACAAAAACAAAAAACAACTACACACATGTAGCTATTCAGGTCCAGGCATTTCGGAGAAAACCAAAGAAACTAAGGTTATTTAGCCGCAATAAACAAAAGCTTAAGGCTTAAGGCTTAAAACAGCGATAAAAGAAAATCATTTAATGGTACACTAATCATTTATTGGTACACTGCATATGTGATCAAATCCTGTCAGAAAACATCTGTAGAAACATAAACCGCAGGAGCGAATTACTCAATATGCATGGAACAGACCAGCTTCATAACCTCTACATGTGAGACTCAAAGCGGCCAAAAAAAGTTTTGCTCAGTCAAAGTGTATAATACTCCATGCACTGCATAAACTACGCAAAGAGAGAGCAAGAAAAACCTCTGTTGTTCAAGCTGACTCTAAGGTCACGTTTCACGCTATCACAAGCTCAACTTCCCTTGTAACGAGCTATTAGTCGTCTTTGGCCTGTCACTTAATTAAAATCGGACTAATCAAAAAATGCTCAAGAAACTAGCAAATCAAAAACGCGGGACATACGTCCTTGCAACTCTGCAGGATTCGAACACGATATTGCGCACTAATTCGCAGACGCTCTATATAAAAGGTTTAGAGCGTCTGCGGCACAGGCAACATTTTTTGTATATTTCATTTTTCGAATTGTCACCCATAACATTTCAAGGCCATCGCTAAAAATGACCACACGTCAACTATTGCTGACCGTGCCGAAACTACCATCAGACATAATATCAAGTGGGATAAATTTGAAATTTTAGGGTCAGGCAATTTAAATAATCACTGCAAGATAAAAGAAACATTTTATAAACAAGATCTTAAGCCACCTTTTAATGTCAGCATCAGCCGTGAAAAGCTGATGCATTATTAATTTGCTGTTGCCTTTTAAAATTTCACAGATAAGAATTTTGCTCTCAGTCTCAATTCTAGACTCCTCTTCAATTTTGCATAATCATTTTCATCATAATCTGTAACAGCCACTTTTAATCACTTTTGAAATGGTTTTTCACTAGCATGCGAAACGTCAAGTTTATCTAAAACTGCGAAAAGTCACAAACCACTACGGAAACGGGATAAGCCATGAGAAAAGGGTACAATGATGAAGGCGAGACTCACAGGTGCGGAAAGAAGTGTACGAAAGATCGACAGGACTGAGGAGGATAATGAAAAGAGAAACTGACATAAAAAAAAAACAACTACAACAACAACAAATTAAGCTATGTCTATTCCCAGTTGGATTTTAGGGTCAATAGCTTTGCGTAAACTAGTTACCCAAGAATTTATTTATTAGCATCTGGGAGCCAGATTTCAGTACCTCTAGTATTATGCAGGCCAGTCTCGGATAATGAATGTAGTTAAATTCATCCTCTTCTTTCTGAAAAATGGAGAGCATTTTTTCGCATGCATCCAGCCTATCCTCATCGAAAAACGACGAGAAATCTTTTTCCAAGTCAGACTGCCTGTTTGAGGAAAGGGTATCCTCTACTTTTCTTTGGTCTTGTTTTACACGCCTTTCACTGATAGAAGCCAACCTAAAAACACAAAAAATGAAATTATTTTCGCTCATCAATGTTTCCATTTCCATAAGATTCTCATCTATATTGATGCAAACAGTGCTAGGCAAACCAAAAGGGACCCCAATAGGCCATTTTCTAGTTGCCCTAAGCCTCTGTTTTAAAGTCAAACGTAGGTGCAAAGCCATTGATAATGATTTTTTTTTTATTCGCATGCAAATTTAACCCCAACGAATACACCTTTTGCTGTTCATTACGAGAAAATACGCATTTATTTGCGTGAAACGGCGACTAATAGCGCGGAGATACATTCATTAGCGTGAAAATACCAACATTTGCGCATAAACCAGATTCAATTACGATTTTTGCATTTTTATCACCATTCAGTAACACATTTAATTTGGGCATTCATATGCGTCAGTCGGCATACAAAAGAGAAAAAGATACTTTCATTAACGCCAACATCCAAGTCATTAACACCATCTTGAAAGTCAATAAGGACAATAGACAAACATTTAAGTGCAAACACTATTTATAAACATTTTTATGTCACTGTTTGCAATTCAATAGCATTCCTGGACAACCTTAGGATAGTTGTAACAAACATCATGTAATGCGCTTGTACAATCAATTGAGCGTTCTTTACATAATACACAAAAATCGATTTTCAAATAAACAATACCATTTCAAAACAAAATTGGCCAGAATTTTTACGCTACCTGGTTTAAAGATTATTGGTCGCCGTTTCACGCAAACGAATGCGTATTTTATCGTAATGAACAGGAAAAGGTCTAAAGTAAAATCAAACTTGTTTTGCGACTGTTTTTTTTTTTCTTTTAATATTTCACGCATTATATTGCACCTTTTTCTTAAAACCGGTTAATTTACAATCAATCATGTCAACTGTTTGCAAAGTGTCCCAGGGTGGTCTTGTTTGGTGTTGACATTCTGCATAATGTTTTTGTTGTAATTATAACACAATATTTTCTTGGGTATCTCGAGTGTTGTTACAATAAACTGTAATAACAAAACAACAAAGAACAAAACGACTTTAGTTTTCCCGGATATCTTTGCAAAACTGGTACCACGAGACAAAGCCCGACAGCAAAGCTGCTTAAAACACAACTATCCCATTTGTGGTCACCTAAAATTTGTAGTTATAAATGGCCATAAATCTGATTATCTTTCAATTACCGGTAGAGTACCTCAGGGATCCTTTCTTGAACCCCTGTTGTTTTTGCTATATATCAATGATTTACCTAACACCTTGAAATTTCTTAGCTTTCACTCATTTGCTGATGACACAAATATATATTGTTCACGTAAAACCTTAATGATCTTGAACTAATCCTAAATCAAGAGCTCCATGCAGTGGCTGAGTGGATGAAATCTTATAGACTAGCTCTCAGTAATTTGAAAACTAATTTTGTTCTTTTTCATCCTAAGAGACTAAAACCAAACAAGTCATTAAATTCAAAAATTGATGGTCTGAACATCCAAGAAGTTTCCACGGTCAAATACTAAGGTGTCACTTTTGACTCAAACTTGACTTGGAAGAATCATGTTAATGAACTCTGCTTAAAACTATCGAAAACTGTAGGCATATTTTCAAAATTAAGATACTATATTAATGTTGTTATACTTATTACGCTTATTATATACTTATACTTATATACTTATTACTTATTCACTAACTTACCCCTTTCTTACTCATGGTATATTTAAGTTTGGGGTCTCACATACCCAACCCACCTTAAACCAGTAACTACTTTGCAAAAACGAGTCGTCAGAATAATGAATTTTTCCGACGCCAGGTCACATTCAGAGCCATTATAACGCTTAAGTCTCTCAGACTCCTAAAATTCTCTGATATAATTCATCTTGAAATTCTCTCGTTTTGTTTATCAGTGGTACCATTAACTAAGCCCTTCTTGTTTTGTTAATTATTTTAATCCAGTATCTTCTATTCATTTATATAATACACTTCAATCACAGAATGATAATCTGTGTGTTAAATTGGTTCATACCACTCAATACGGCATTCGTTTTCTCAGTTACACTGATACCAACCTTCGGAATTCTTTATCTATTGATGTTAAGAAAATCAAGCCGTTTTCCAGTTTTTGTCAAAATATCATGAATTCTATGATTGATGGTTATAATACCGTTATTGATTCCTTAAGTTTTATGATTATATTTATCTTTAACTACTATTTAATAAATGAAGTAATACTTTTTATCTAAAAAAAAAAATTTGTCTCTATATTCCTTCTACTCATGTTCTTGTTTTGGGTCACCTACTCGGTTAGTTCTATGAACTATTTAGGTGTCCCAAACTCTGTACAATGAACCTACAATTGAAAATTTCTTTTCCTTCACAATCTTTCGATTTTATATTTAAGCCCTCATTTGTATCAATCAATATTCTGTGTGAGTTTAAATAAAAATGGACTTCACTTGACTTGACTACAACCCAGCTTCTCCCAGCCTTAACACGGTCATTACCAAACACCTTTCAATACTTCAATCCTCAAACCGTTGTAGAGAAAAGTTTCCTGACGTAGAACTCATGCATTCCACTTGAACTTATAAACAGTAAAAGAGAATCCGTACGTGGAGCTCGCGAACAAATGTATAACGAAATGGCAAATACCATGCAGCCACATCGTGAGAAAACAGAGGGGACAACCGTTAAATTTATTATTATTGTTGTTATTATTATTATTATTATTATTATTATTATCATTATTATTATTATTATTATTGTTGTTGTTGTTATTATTATTATTATTATTATTATTATTATTATTATTATTAATATTATTATTATTATTATTATGATCATCATCATCATCAACGAAATGCTTTAGCTGTGGTAGATGTTGTACCGAAATTACACCAAGGCAGCGAGCCATAGCCAATGGCCAAAGATCCGTTGGGTTAATTCTCCTCCTTCAACTTTCCAACTTAAGATCCTTGCTGTTCGCAACAAATCTTTTTTCTGCAGCAAACCCATATCGATGGTAATTCCAAGCTTGTCAAGCTATGTATCCAGTCTTTTGCTTACTGCACCGAGTTCACCAACCACTACGGGTATCACTTCAACACGTCTAATAACCCATAATTTTCTGATCTCTCTCTTCAGATCTTGGTATTCCTCAATCTTTTTACTCTCCATTACATACATGAAACATTATTGTTACTGTTATTATTATTATTATTATTATTATTATTATTATTATTATTAACCTATCGTGGGAGGCACAGACGGATGCAAATTCAAGAGTTCTCGCTCAAAGAATCGTGTCTACGGATGCTCAAATCGGAGCAAACTCGAGAGGCTTTACTTCTTTTCCCATAAATACAGATTTCTCTATGTTAGCCTCATCAAACCAAGATTTACATATAGCTAGTACTCCTCAAATCCCAGGAGACGTAGAGCAGAAAGAGCAAAGTGAAAACCATTTAAACAGCCCGAAATGCCTTCCAGAGTATAATACCATTTACAAGCCATCTATGATCAACTGGGGGAAACAAAGTGATGGTAATGCAATTGTTATATCGACGTCAGTCATGACAGATGCTTACAACGAGATCGCAACCTGGAGAAAAAACGTATTTCTTGTACCGTATGGGAAAATAGGAAGGGATTTTACTGATCAAGTGACTTTGCATATTAATGACTGGAATAGTGGTTCCGACAATCAGCACATATCTCTGAAAGCAGCTTTAGTGCTTCTCGCTGTAGGGCTCCAAAAGTCAAGCCCGAAGTCTAAGGCAAAAGATCATCAAGATGTCTTGTCTAAGCGCCTAATACTTTGGAGGCAAGGTGAAATTAATAAGTTATTACGCGAACGTAGAATTATTCAAGGTCGTATCCGAAAACTAAAGGCGTCGGAACCGCCCGATAGATCTAAGGTTTTTGCTAAGCTTGTACCGGAAGGTCAAATCAACTCAGCGCTGCGTTTCCTGAGTGAAAAAACTAGTGGTGGTGTGCTGTCTTTAACAGATGAGGTCATGTCGCTGTTAAAACAGAAACATCCCAATCCACAATCAGCCAAATTAGGTTCACTGTTTTTTCTGGCCTATTGATGACCAGTATCCGGAATCCGTGTATACAGAGATTAACGGAGAGATGGTGAGGCAAGCTGCCTTGAGAACAAAATGAGAAGGAGGCCCGTCTGGGGTTGACGCGAATGGCTTCAGAAGAATCCTTGCTTGCAAGTCCTTTAAACAGTCATCGGCAAGGCTGTGTGAGGCAATAGCCACAATGACGAGGACTCTGTGTACACAAAGCCTATGATCCACTGTTAAAGAAACCCGGTCTTGATGTCATCTTTAAGAACTTCCGTCCTGTGAGCAATTTGTCTTTTGTGTCTAAACTCCTTGAAAGGGCTGCTTTTAATCAGATTCATGGTCACCTGGTTCGTAATAACTTATACCCAGTTGCGCAGTCTGCTTATAGAAGAAATCACAGCACTGAAACAGCACTTTTGAAAGTAATGAACGATATTCTGTTAAATATGAACAAGCAGCACGTTACTATCCTTGTATTGCTTGATCTCAGTGCTGCTTTCGATACCGTTGATCACAGCATTCTCCTTAACAGATTATC